AAAACTAAGACCGGCCCCCGACCAGAAAAGGGAACAGTCATGTGGCCCTCGCAGGACAAAGTTTGGGGACCCCTGCTCTACACAGTCTGACACAAATGTACACATTAGGTTTCATATAAAGCATCTCTAGTCGGACAGTTTTTGTTAATATCTCGAAAAGAAATGTTTTGCCTGTTGAGATTAGCCATTTTGGTTTGCTCTAAGTTTATAAACAAAAATTCAACTCAAAGAGGAAATTAAATCTTGTAACTGAAACCATTCTTTGTGAACGATTACTTAATCCCACACACAATCTCTTTGCTCTTTGTCTTTCACAGATATCCTGAGGCGTTGCAGTTCAAGTGGGATTGTTCAATACAATTGGGTGTTTCTTCTTATTTTGTTAGTTATCAGTTTAACCCATTAACTGATCTCCTGCTCTCTGTTTAGTTCATGTGTTTAATGTGTAACAGGTGGGTGCCTGCTTTTCTTAAATATGTTAAATATTATCAGAGCACCACCTGAAGGTTATAGGTCGATTCTTGGGGCCCTATAGCCTGTTTTACTGAAGGGTTCACTGAAAAGCATAGTTTGAAAAAAGGCCCTTTAGAATGTGTGTGTGTACAAAATATATATTCTTACACTATTTGAACAACTTGCTTCCTCTGCTGATTAGGAATAGTTGTTTAAGTGGTTTATCATTAAAACAAGTTTGTGCTATGTGCTCTTTACTCCTTTTTTAGCATTTGTTATAAACACACAAGAAGTCACTTGTTCTTGCTTGACCTTTTTACACCTTATTATTAAATACAAATGTGAAAATGGGGAAATAGCAACAGAAAAAGGTCCAGTAGCCTCTCTTTTACTCTTGGGTATAAGCTATATTTGCAAGACCTAGTTCTAACCTTGTGGTTTGTTTATCATTGCTATAGCAGCTCCATAGCATCTGCCTACCTAGAAGGCTATCAGTTACAAAGTTCACTGAAGTGTGACGTCACATGAGAACTTTTATTATTAAGCCATTAAAAGCTTACAAAACTATTACATCGTCCTCAGGGCTTTCAGATATTGTATCAAAGCATAGTAACAACTTCACAGTTTCTGAGTTTCAAAAAATTAAATCTCAGGGGTTCGAGCTTACTAGCTCTGACAATCTACTATTCAGTCTTGAAGCAAACAGACACAACTCTGGTCATCTGAACTAAACTCTAACATGAAAACTGACTCAGTGTCCTCAATGTTAGATTCTATTATTGTTACTATTTCAGGTGCTATTGTCCATAGAAAAAAAACAATAAACTGATTGTCTACTAATCAGTGTTAATATATAGATTAAAATTCAGGTTTTGAAATCCTGTAAACAACTATTAAAAGGGAAAAACATGCATGAGGGTGAATGCATTTTTATCTGCTCTGTACATCAACAATGACATTCTCGAAGGCTGACAGTTCAGACTGAATATTCTCAGACAGCGACAGGATATCAGTTCTATTAGTGGTTGCAGAAGCCGGCTACCAGTACCTTTTGACTGAGCTTAAATTTGGGTTATGCAGTTTTGGACTCAATGAGTGAAATTATCCAAATTGATTTATATTTGGTTTTTCAGTTATATTAGACTTTGTTGGTGTTGAGCATATGAAGTAAAGATTAATTCCGTAATATCAGTTAAGATCTTTGCCTTAGAACAATGAACTATTGACTGTTTTAGATCTATGACAATTAAAGCTGGAGAGAAATTATTTTCTTGAAGTAGTCCTTATGATTGTCTGTTTGAGTCACCCTTGACTCTCTTTACTTCAATGGATTATTTTTTTCCAATATGTGATAAAAATTTCAAATAAGCAGTAAAGTTATAGATATTTTTCTATCCCGGATTTAAATAAAACAAAGCTGCAACTAAGCTAACTTTGCATTAATATGTTTCATTCATCTTTCATTCAAGCTAAAATCAAAATACAACGTTCTTTTTATCAGTTTTGCCTTTTGATAGAAAAGTTTTGACAATATTGTCTTTTATATTGCTTTAAGTGGGTCTTGGCTTTCATAACTGTCCTTGAATCTTGTGCAAATAATTGTTCTTATTGAACCTTTTGGTTGAGCCAGGCCATCATATAAATTAGGTGTTTTTATCTGTGTGGTTTAGTGTAGCTTTTGAGAAGCACTTGTCACCCTTCTAAAATAAATTGTATATTTTATTGAGTAATGTGATACAGTTCTTTGAAACATAAGGAGAGTAGGGCAGTAGATGCAGGTGAATATTTCAGGAAAGCGGGTTTGGAATCTCTTCTCATGACAGGTTGTGATTCGGGTAAATTTAGTGGTTTGAAAGTAACCAAAATGAAATGCAGTTTTTGCAGAAAGCAACTGGAGTTTAGTTCAAATTTTGTAACTCATAGAAAATCTGGAAACTGGTGGAGAGAAGTAGAGCCGATTGGGAAATGACATGCTGGCGTGACCTGAGGAGTTGGCTCACCCAAGGTAAAGGTGCTTCACAGAAAGAAAACAAAACAATCTACAGAATCACTCCAGGGGCCTGTACTATCAGGAGGGATCAGTGGCTTATCAAGCTAACTTGTACTGATACAGACAAGCAAGCATTCTGCATATGTCTTTGTGGATTGAGAACAATTGTTTAGGATTTGAATTGTTTGCTCAGACGCTCCAGAACAGGCTAGCTTTCAAGAAAAGAGGTCAAGACAGATAAATAATATAGTTTCTTTACCATCCATATCCTCAGAAAAAGGAATAAATGGAAAAAAAAAAAAAAAAAAAAAAAAAGCAGGGAATTCATGTCATCCTGCTTACTTGTGATTTCTCTTCCTCAGCGAGTGCAGATTTAGAGACAGAGAGGATTTTCTTCTTGAAGATGAAAACAGGCTCATTAGTCACTTTAGGTGCTTGGATCTGGAACCTGAGTCGGAGTTCAGATAAAAATATTGAACTCACCTTTTCAAAAATGTGACACACCAGAGTTAATCTATAGTACTAGAGGTTTTGGGGGAATGTCTTCCACCATAACAGTAAACACCTTGAAATTTATCTTTACTTTTAGTATTGTCTGATATTTAAAATACTTTGATGTTGTGAAACATTTACATATGGCAAACATACATCAAAGAAAAAAGAAAAAGGAAGCAATAGGCTCTCGGAGAGAAAAGCTAAAAATAATTATACCTATGAAGTTGATCTTCTGTGAAGGTGTTTCACAATTATCCATTGTCCTTCATTTTCCTTCAGAAAGCAAGTTGCAAATTTATTCTAAAGCCTCCGCTTGTGGCATTGCAGTGAGATTCTGTTGGGTATGTACAGATGTGTGACTTTTAGAATGTTTGCGTCTGCGTTACATTAGAGTAACCTTACCAATATTTATTTTTTTAGATTTTTGGTATGTGCAACATGTATGTAATCTAAATTAAAATGTGGTAGAAAATTAAAGAGTGCAAGAACAACTCTTTGTGATTTCGAGTGTGGAGTTGAGGCTAAAAATATCAACTAGATATTTTCCCAGTGGTGGTGTTGTCTGTTGAAACTCTTGGCAGCTGCTGTTATGGCTCCCATTCAGCAATGTTTACTGTAGGACCACATACAAAATAAGAATTTCCACTTCCTTTTGTGGTTGGTTTGTCAGGACACACATCATCGTTGTCCAATCGCTGGTTCGCCATTGGAAGGTCTGGGAGGTTACCCCAGCAGCTGGTGTGTTAAAGGCAAAACCAACCAGTGGTTGGAATGTGTTTTTATTTTCCTACCCCATAAATAACATGCTGCCACACTGCCGCCCTCACAAGCACTTTGGTGCTTCATATACAGTGAAAGGTCAGACTGGGTCTCCCTGATAGTTTGCATGAAAATTTGAAAAGGAAAGGAGTAAGGAGGAGTGGTTTAAGTTGGCCAATATGTGAAAAAGACAGGTGAAAGGCATGGAAGATGCTGCAAAACGTACACAGATAAAAAAAAACAAACAAAAAAAAACAAGCATGAGGCCAAATTAACAGGTAATTTCTTTCACCAGGTAATCAAGCACCGTCTGCATGGCTCTGCAATCTGTTCCCAGACTTGGCATTTAGTGTTTTTTTGTTTGTTTGTTTGTTTTTCAATGTGTTCAGGACACAGAATATTAAAAACACCCTTTCAGTAGTGTTACTTCATGCATGCATGAATAATTAATCTTTTCCATCAGTTAAAATAAATCTGCACTGGATGACCAAAAGACACATTTCTTTAAATTAAAAAAAATCATTTTATGAGAAAGTCTGTGTTCAAATTTAGAAGATATATCTGAATATTCAGACTATACATCCATTTGTCCTGTTCTGTTTTTTTTATTAATATGTAGCCTTTTTCTCGCTAGCTCAAGAAATATACATATAAAGCGAGTCATTTACTTCCTGTCTGTTTAGTGTTTTTTCTTAAGTTGATTTTCATATCGTTTTTATACTCTAACACTATGAATTCTTTGCAAAAATCATACACAGTTTATCATTATTGCTGTTAAGTAGGCAAGTAGTAGACAAGGACAGTGTCAGCTGTGGACTATGAGTGGTTAAAGGGGGCCAGGGTATTTCCAGTCAGAGTAGAAATGAGCGGAGGAGAAACAGGAGAGTGGAGCAGAAACCATGAAAATAAAAGGCCAGGTTCAGGTGCCATGTGCAGGATTACTTGTACGTTTCTTTCCTTAGGATTATGTTGACCTCTTAAAATCAAAGCCTCAGCTTTTTCACATCTAAAAGCATTCTATAAAATTATTAATTTCCCTTCTTGATGTATTGGTCTGTACAGCTTTGAAAGCTGGTTTTTGTTTCCCAATATTGGCTTTATAGGCTGTTTGTATAACTGTCATGAGGACACAATGTCCTCCTGAACCCATTGGATAACATGTTGGTTTTCAGGGAGACAGTTAAGGGGTTTGTCAACTGTTTGTCATTAAATACATACACACACACACACACACACACACACACACACACACACACACACACACACACACACACAGTAGTTTTGATTGTTGAAAAAAACGTAGTGTTTTCATACAACACAGGAAGTTCTGTCATTTTAAAATTGTGATTCCACTTTTGTCTCGTGTGTGATTAGATGAAAGGCCACTCCAAACCAAGCTCCCAGGCTGAATTTTAACCCCTGCCCGCCCCAGGATACCATCCATCTCTCCGTTTTCTCTCTCCCATGGCCAATAGGAGAGAGGCAGCGGACAGATCTCCAATTCATTACAGAGCAACACAGAGACAAACACGGAGACAACAGTGTTTCTGAGCTGTTCTCTCCCACTTGAGCTACATGCAGCACATAAACTACAAACTCATGGTTTTTACTCATGTGCCCAGATACAGTGTGAATGATCCGATTAATTCAGCTTTTTAAGGGATTTTCTGTGTTCTTTTAAAGATGTATTAATGTTGTGTATCACAGCTACATTTA